AAAAAAAAAAAGAGATTGATGAAAACCCCAATTCCCCAATCAAAATTTATTAAATTTATAAGAAAGTTTAACAAAGATTATTTCATAAAAAATTATAAAATTTCTAAAAAAGATTGAAACTTTTTACAAGTGTACATAAATGCAATAAATGCATGTCGGAGAGGGATTCATTACACAAAATAATTTTCCTCTAAAGGAAATTTATACATTTTTAGTCAATATGAATATATTTATAATTAAGATTTAAAAAATCTCTGATTTTTTTTATGTAACATGCAAAGGAATTTGGAATTCTTCCGAAATTAGTTATTTTCTTCCTTTTTTTTTTTAAAAAAAAAAGTAAACCGTAAGAAGGTTCATTTCCTGCGATGAGATATCTTATTTGTATCATGCAGTACAGAGATTTTTATTCGATTTATTCGGAAAAATTATGTATAATGGTGTACTGTTCTTTGTTATAAAAATTAACTCAAAAAAAAAAAAAAAGGTTTTATTATTGTTTATTACCTCATATCTTACGATATTTTTGCGACATTATAGACGTTTAATATTTTGATTCTAAAATAGGTCATTCGATTCTGTTTCAATAAAAATCTAGATCGAATGATAATAATTACGAAATCAAAAACAACTTGAAATTCCATCTTAGAAAATCATCTATGACACGAGAAGTTTGATAAAAATCATCTGGCTCTGCGTGTAACTTTAATTGGTCAACGGAAGACGATGATCAAGACTTTATTATTACCCCATTATACTTCCTGCAATTCTTATGATAAATTAATTTAATCATGAGGGAACTTTACAAGGGATTTGTCTACAACTCGTGAATTCAGGGTGTTATAAAGAAACAAAGTTTTATTGATTCTTTTCGGATGTGAGGGTAACCAATTTTTATGAATATCGTATAACAAACATAAAACGTGGTTGTATATCTTGAGTTTTTTTTGTATATCTGTCATATTATAATCACATTTTATATAATGTTCTTAAATTTAAAAATCATAAACTTTAATGGGAATAATACACGGATTAATAAATTATTAAAATTTTAGGTTACAATCGAATTTTTAATTATATAACGAATTTTCAATTCATTCTATATAAAAATTTCTTTTTTCCTTATGCCTAAATAATAAATTTTTTTTTTTATATGTATAATAATAATTATGCATTCAATGTTTGTGTGACTATGAACTTTAGGCTCCGAATTTTCAAAAAAAGTATTTTTAATAGAAAAAAAAACCAGATTTATACCAAAAAATTCATGGTTCAAACGTGGGTCCAAAAATAATAATGTAAAGGAGACATTGAAAATTTTTTTTTTTTATCCTCTTGCCCCCTTAAAAAAAATACTAAGTAGTTTAAAAAAAATTGTCAATCTTGCTGGCTGCATAAAAAAACTATAAATAAAATAATATATATAAAAAAAAATTTTTTTTTTATATGTCGTATTGTGAAAAAAATGGTGGGTACTCAAATATTTGTACTTTGGTTGTACAATTTTAAATTTTATTTAATAAAATAAAAAAAAAAATTTTTTTTAATTTATATTGAATTGTTACCCGAATATAAAGTAAAAAAAAAAAAAAATAACGAAAAAAAAACACTTTTTTTTTCTCTCTATTTATTCCTTTTTTAACAAAAATTCCTTCGATAAAGAGAAGTCATATAAAATACTTTTCTACATTATAATTCATATTCTCCCGATAATTTTACTTAATTACTTTTTACCTTACCTCCCGCTCCTAATTTTTTTATTTATTGTAATATTTTGAATATCACGATACACACATTTATCATTCACTTAACGATTCATCATAATAAAAAATGGAATTAGACGCTTGGTGCATTTGTGGAAAACTTGTTTTGGACAATAACGCTTTGTATTGTTCAAATGAATGCAAGAATGCTGATAGCAATAATTCGATACCCTCCTCTTATCATCAATCACAAAATCCTCAGAATCCTCCAATGAATTTACATTTTTCTATTACCATCACCCCAAACATGTATAAAGCTTCGGATTCTAATGCTAAAATCTCATCTCCCTCGTCAATGTCTTCTTCTTATTCTGATTCCAATTTGTCTTCTTCATTTAATAGTTTGAGTACTTTAGATCAAAATTTCAATGATAATTATAATTATTTATACACTCGCTGCTGTAATCAATTTGAAGATGATACATTTGATAATGATTATTATACCTCGTATTACTCCACTAGTAATCCCATTGACATTCCTAGTCCAAGAACTCAAGCTGCGAGTGATCCAGCATTAGAACCCAATAAAGGGACGTTTGGAAAAGAAAAAAGCCTTTTTTCTTGAATCTTGAACAATTTACGGGGGGAAAATGGAAAAAAAAGCATATTTCGAATCGGGAAAAAAAATCAATTCGCTATATTACTTCTTTCATAATCTTACTTTTTTTCGCACAACTCGATTTATTTTAGCTTAGTTTTTAAGCAATTATTTTTAAAAATTGAACCCATTCGGCAAGCAATTATAATCACACAAATAATTACCATATAATTTAAGATTTTTTAGATTATGATATTTTTTATGTATATAATGTATTTATATTTACAAAAAGAAACAAAAAAAAAAAAAAAAA